GAGAACAGAAATTGTGTGCTGGCAGCGCGGCGGCAGCGGGAGGCCCCATTGGCTAAAGTGGTACCTCAGGTTAAGAACAGTTTCAGGTTAAGAACAGACCTCCAGAACAAATTAAGTTCTTAACCCGAAGTACCACTGTATTGTAATTTGAACAGGAGGCTGAAAATGGGATTCATGAAGTTATTAAAAGCAGTCTAAAATGTATCAAAATAACAGCCCAATTTGCTTAATCCCAGTCAAGACATGTCTGCCAAAAGCATTACTCCTTATGCAGCTTCATGCTCATTCTTTGGTAAACCACCAAGGAAGAGCTACAAATGCCGAACTAAAAAAACCATATATACATTATAATGAATGTCCAACATCTGGTGAATCCTGACAATCCCAGATAATTTTGTTGATATCTGAAAAATATACCCAACTCTCTACTTTTCAGATATACTTCTGTAAGTGCTGACAGTCTTATTGATGTGTAGCACAGAGTTCTCAGACATTCGCAAAACCTGAGGAAGTGATTACCAAAACTGATCTCTCTGTGCATTAAGATCTTCTACTGAAGCCCTTTCCCAGCTGTCTCCTTTATCAGAGGAACAGTATTCAGATACAAAGGAGAGGACCTTCTCAGCAGTGGCACCCCAGTTGCAAAATGATCTCCCCAAAGACCTTTTGCCAGGCGCTTACACTGCAGTCTTTACTTTGCTAGCTGGGGCTGACGGAAGCTGTAGTCCACACAATCCAGACAGTGTTCTAAATTCACCAGGCACATTTTGCGCCTGGGTATCAGCCAATTGCGACAAAGTGAAGATGCCCGGGGGTCAGGATGGCACCTGACGTCTCCACCATCTGGAGGCGCATGCCTGGCCATCCTTGGATCTTGACTGTTTTCACACACTAACAACACATCCTTTAGAATTCTATTCGTGATATTTGATCAGAACAAATTTCAGGAACCAAAAAGCCGTATATATGACTTGCGAGCCGTCTGGGCCCCAAATGGCAACTATACATTCCATTTTGGCGACTGTAACCCTGGTTTAAGGAGCCATTTGGCGCCTAGTTTATATATCTGAGTTTCTAAAACTGCAAATGGCGGGCAGCAGGTGAGTGAAGAGTGTGGTGGCAACACTAAAACAGAACCCAGTCCAAGGCTACACAATGGAAGGGATAGTCAATTGATAGCAAGTATGTTTCCTTCTTCCTCTGCGATTTCTTTAGAAGACTGAGCCACAGATATTTTCACACACCATCATGAAAACCTTCGAAGAAATCAGTTCCAGACAACCCTGGCTGCAATCAGGCGCAATCGGGAACCCGAGGCAGGGGGAGAGAGGAGAGGACATCTAATTCATGAGTGTTTATTTCTAAGAAAGTGGGATTTAAGATGCCATTAAAAGCAACTTTTTAAAAAGCAATCCTTCTTGCAGATCTTCCAAACATAATATTTTGCCCTCTGCAGGCCTTCACAATTAAAAGCGCTGCTCTTGGAATGTACTTAAAATGAGATATACACTTGGAGGAGCCAGGGCCGGGCGGGGGGAGTCCTTCGCTCTCTTCGCTCGCAGATGGCTATGGAAAGTAGATTTTCATGCTTCGAAGTTGCCTTTCCCTACTTTAGGAGGTAAGCCCACCCTACACCTGCAACACAACGGTGTGGCGTGAAAAAGTAGACAAAGCTTCAGCACAACCTGAAACCTCATCCTTTTCACATCTCAAGAGAACCCAGGTCTCAATTTTTTTTTAAAAAAAGATTTAAATACATTCCAACCCAAGCCACTGAAAAGCATATGAAAATATGAGGTTTTAATCAAGGTAGCACTAAGGCTAGGGTTCCATTACTACAAGGGTCTCCCTCCTCCCCCTGCGACCCACCTAAATATTTTCCTTAATGCTCCAGACGACATTTGATGATGACACAAAGCTGAGGCCTTACTGCATTAGGAGTAATCCTTGCATGCATGCAACTATTTCGTTGAAAACCATACGGTTTTGAAAGACTCACAATAACAGATCATCCAAGTGTCCCTATTTTCCAGGGACAGTTCCCGATTTACAAGAGCAGTTCAAGTTTCAAGTGACATTCCAGTTTTTAAATGTTTTATTACGTTTTTATACATGTTGGAAGCCACCCAGAGTGGCTGGAGCAACCCAGTCAGATGAGCGGAGTATATAACAACAACAACAACAACAACAACAACAATTACTACTATATACAATGTCCCTATTTTCATCTGAGAAATGGTGGAGGGTATGCAATGGTATTATCCAACACAGAGAAATGGCAGAATCCTGAGGTGCTACATCAGGTTGTAACACTTTTGTAATTCTTCCACATGTAAGCAAACAAACCTCCAAGAAAGTAAACAATTAGTACAGCAAAGAGAAAATGTTCTAGCCCGATGCAGAGAGGCTTTCTTTTATAAGGGGAAGCATTTCAAAATGGTGTATCTCACCTGTAGCCTCGAGTGGTACCAAGCATTCCACCATTCTATATGTAGGCCAAACATAAAACATGACCTTTCAAAACAGGAGGAGCAATTTACACTCGCAACTGGGATCTTTCCTCAAGCATTGGTAAAGGCGCACAAAAAAACAACAACCCTTAACACCCTGATTTTGTTACGACTGAAAATCAAACTTTCTTTTGGGGGAAAAAATTCTTGTAGCAAGCCTAATTTAAGCATCAAGTAATCTGACAGGAAATATAAAGAATACAAATGCTTCCTAACTTTCAAAGGACAAAATGTGTAGGAGGAAAGATTTAGCTGTAAATAGCCAGGTCTATCTTCATTTAAATGAGACCTGTCGTGAGAGCAGTGCTTAGTGAGGTATGCTCTGACCCAAAACAGAACTAAATCCTACCCCCTTGCCATCTTTTTTAGAGCTTTGTTTGTTTGTTTTTTGCGGAAACCTCTTTTACAGCCTTAAAACTAAGATTTGGATGGTAATAACAACCAACAGACAACATAGCCAGGAGGAATTTTATTATGACTAAAAGGAAGGTCTCCCTGCTTGAAAAGACTAACTGCCAGTGAGGAATGCATTCACCAAAGTTTAAACAACTGATTATCAGACTTCCAGATTCGGGAGAGAGGGGAGAAAAAATATATTTTCAGCTTAGAAGCAACAAAACAGGGATGCGACTGAATCTGAGCAAGGATAATAAACATCCTAGAAGTCCAAAAGCCAGGGGAGCAGATGAAGAAAGAACAGAATGGTAAGTTCCGAAACCAAACAAATCTTTCTAGACCTATCAAAATCTTACGCCCAGATGCTTCCACAAAATCCCATGTATTAGAAGGGGTAGGCATGCAAACACAGTCAAACATTTCCATCTCATTCTTTCCAGTATGGGCACTGGAACACTTTCAGCACCCATGTTAGACTGAAAATTAGATTGTTTGCCCTCAGGGGAGCTACATTGCAGCCAGCATTCAAAATTTGCCAGGCACAAGGCGCATTTTGCACCTGCAACCAAGTGAAGATGTCTGGACGCCAGGATAGCATCGGACGCCTCCACCATCTGGAGATGCATGCCTAGGGATCCTTGGATCTCAACTGTTTTCACACACTAGCAACACATCCTGCTGAATTCTATCTGCGATATTTTATCTGCACAACCAGAATGAATTTCAGGAACTAATGAAAAATATAACTTACAAGCCGCCTGGCCCCCAGATAGCAACTAGGCATTCCATTTTGGTGACTGCAACCCTGGTTCAAGGAGCCATTTAGGGCCTGGCTTATATATCTGAGTTTCTAACACTGATTACTGCCCACCTTGAGCCCTTGGAAAAGTGTGTGAGGAAACGGAACATACTGAGAAAGCTGTTGTAGGCCCAGACCAGCAAAAGGAGTGGCCCAACCTTATCTGTGTTGCTCATCTACTTCTCATCTACTTCTCAGAATCGTCTACAGCAGATTGAAAAGAGCCTCAGCCAGCGCGAGTGGCATCCCTCTGTACGGATGGCAGAGTCAATTAACCTCCTGTGTTTGTTGTCCGACGGAGACTACAAGAACAGGAAAATCTAGCAGGCTTCAGTGCATATTAATTCTGATGGGTCACCAATTCCATGGTCTACTCTACACCAAACTCAACCCTTTATATCAAGCAGAATGAGGCAGATTCTTGATGTAGTCTTGCTAGCAACAGAATGGGTTACTAGGGTACAAACAGATTTAGGAGCTCAGAAAGACACCAATCAAAAGCGCAAAGATTTAAGGCAAATAACTTTTGAGAATATCTGACCCCTTCCTGCCCACAGCCCCATTAACAAGAGATTTGAGTCTGAGATCTGTTGCATCTTCTCTGTAGATAACAGTTTCCTCCCTCGGAACAGTTTGGTGTTGGGCAGCTTCCTGTTCCTTCATCTCTGGGTTTGTTTGTTTTAATACTGTTCCCTCTCAGTCCTCGTGGAAAAGCCATTTCTTCATGATCAGAAGCCTGCTTGCTTATGCCCTCTTCCTTGTGGGACTGCAGTGGTTGCCTGACCTCCCAACACTGGGATCACTGACAGTCACCAAGAGGGACACGTAGAAAAGAGGTCAGTGCGGTGTGGGCACAGCAACAAGAACAATCTGCCACTTGGATCCCACCACCCTGACACCTCACTCCTCCATTTCTCAGTAACCAGAATCAACCCCAGCACTGGGAAGTCAGGTAAACCATGGGTAGGCAAATTAAGGCCCGGGGGCCGGATCTGGCCCAATCGACTTCTAAATTCGGCCCGTGGACAGTCCGGGAATCAGCGTGTTTTTACATGAGTAGAATGTGTGCTTTTATTTAAAATGCATCTCTGGGTTATTTGTGGGGCATAGGAATTCGTTCACTCCCCCCCCCCCAAAAAAAATATAGTCTGGCCTCCCACAAGGTCTGAGGGACAGTGAACCGGCCCTCTACTGAAAAAGTTTGCTGACCCCTGAGGTAAACTCAGAATCACAGAATTGTAGAGTTGGAAGGGACCACAAAGATCTTCTAAGTCCCCTGCAGTGAAGAAATCTTTCACTCAACACGGGGCTTGAACCCACGACTCTGCGATGAACAGCCTGATACTCTACCAACTGAGCTATCCCTCTGCGCTAGCCCTCCTCTGCCCCACCGACTGCCACTGCTTCCCAAATCTAGTTGGGGACTACAATTCCTTCAGCCCCAGCCCCGTGTGATGGTAGTTGTGGTTCAAAAGGCTCTGGTGGGCACCAGGATGGACAAAGCTGTCCTTAAAATTTCCTCACAAAAGGGAAATTCTTCTATTCAAGAGCTTTTTTGGGGAGGGGGGCCAACAGAGACACAGGAAAAGAAAGTCGAAGCAAATTTGTTGGCAGAGAAACACTCCTTCCTGCATTTTATAAACCTAAATCACATCAGTAAGCGGGAAACCAGAGGGCTCTGTTGTGAAGGAGTTAAAAAATGAGTGCTAAAAATAAAAAGGCAGGTTCCCCACACCCTCCAGTACTAAAGTCGCCAGTTCTTCCCCAACCTACCTTCACCCCAGCCTTTTAGAGACGTAGCCAGGAGGAATAGAAGTTGGTAAAAATGACAAGGTGAGCAATGAAGCTGCTGAAGTAATACTGGAAGGCAAAGAAAAATAGACCATGCATGCAAAAGAGCCTTATGAAACACGGCAACCTTATGAACCACAAAATCCAGCTGAATACCTGATGAAATCTCTGCACTGTAATTATATTAATGCCTTAGCTAGCTCGATTGGAATTTTTGTACCGTTTGCTTTGGTTTCGAAAGATTTATCGTTTTGATGTGCACATTTGGGTTAGGATTCTTACACCCTCCAAGGGCGCCTGGAGGTAGATTATAAATCCCATTTGTAGAATGTGTTTATGCAAAACACATTTTCTAAGACGTCTGGGTAAACCTGCTATTCTCCCTCTACCTTTCTGGAGTCACTCTTTGCTTGTGCTCACCAAAGTAAATTGCCTGCCACTTATACCTGCTTAAAGAAAGGTTTTTGTACTGAGGAGAAATTCTGAAAAGGGGGGCGGGGGAAAGCCCATCGAGCCAGCATGCAGGTAAACACCCCTGATTCAGGGCCTGTTTCTAATTCCAATGAAAATAAGGGAAGCAACTCTTGCGTCTGCTTTCCCAGTTCCTCTTGCCGTGTGTGAAGTGAGAGTCAGCGCTTAAACCAGTCTTCTTCCAGGTGCCGCAGGATGTTTTGGGCCACAACTCCCAAGAGCCCCAGGTAGCACGACCCAAATTCTGGGGTGATGGAAGTGGTAGACCCAAACTCCTGGAGGGCACCAGATGAGGAAGAGCTGCACTAGATCCATGAACAGATGGCTTTTGGAACTCGTGAACCCAAGAACCACAAGCAGCGCTCAAAATTCCCCAGGCACCAGGCGTGTTTTGCGACTGGCGCGAGTCCAATTGCGACCACGTGGTGATCTCTGGATTCCATCTCCATCTGGCTGGCCCCTCCAGCTTTCTTAAGCAGGTTAAGCAGAAGAGCTGATTTGCTGCATTTGTATGGTTCAGCTTCCTCTTCAGTTAATCCTTACAGCGACCCTGTGAGGTAGGTTAAGAGGCTGTGGTTGACTCCAGGGTCACCCAGTGAGCTCCTTGACTGAGTGGGGCTTTGAACCCTGGTATCTCCCAGGTCCTAGTCCGACACTCTAACCACTGCATCAGACTGGCTTCCTAGAGTAATTCTGCTACGAAGTAGCTATATAAATCAAGTAGGTTAATTAAATACAGTGGTACCTCTGGTTGGGAACGGGATCCGTTCTGGAACCCCCTTCGCAACCTGAGCAGAATGCAACCTGTGTCTGCACATCTGTGCATGGCCAGGTCGTGATTTGCCGCTTCTGCGCATGATGTCATTTTGAGCGTCTGCGTGAGCGGCGAAACCTGGAAGTAACCCTTTCCTGTACTTCCGGGTCACCACAGGACGCAACCTGAGAACACTCAACCTGAAGCAAACGCAACACGAGGTATGACTGTATAGGGAAAGCAAAATGTCACTTAAAAATGGATCTGAAATATTTTCCTTGAAGCTTGAATTTGCTCTTTTCTGGATTGTTTTATTTGATGTCGTAAATGGCTTTGAGATTTGTTTTTTAAAATACAAAGCAGTACTATTATTATTATTATTATTATTATTATTATTATTATTATTATTGCAACCCCCCCCCAGTGCCTTGGCATTCCGTGTTGTGGTGACCATAACCTAGGTTTAAGGTGCCATTTGGTGATTAGATTATATATCTGAGTTTCCAGCACTGATGGAAGAGAAGCTTCTTCCAGCAGGCTTCAACTTTCTAGACAAGGGGGACAAAGGAATCCAGATTTGGGTCAGTTTGCATCCACACAGCACGATTCCATTTGCCAATAGAGATGTCTAAGGTGGAGCTGCCTTAAGTGTGCATATGCACAGAAGTTTGCTCTGGGTCCAGCTTAAAAACCAGGCCTGAAGTCCCAGGTTGCGAGACAGGGCTGCAAGACATCACTGTCTGAAATCCTGGATAGCTGCTGCCAGCCCGTGTGGGCAATACAGACCAATGGTCTGACTAGGGATAAGGCCATTTTCTACGTTCCACGATAGGCAACGAGAGACAATACAAAATAGGTAGTTGTGATGGTCACCCTGTTCAGCTGCCCAGCTCCCTCCAGGGGGATACAAAGAAGAAGAAGAGGAGAACGGTACACAAAAACCACAAACACACTCAGTTGCCCCCAAGCGTAACAATACAGTGGGAATACTCGGCTGAGATTCAAAGCAAGCAATTGGATACCAATGAACTGCTCTGTAATCTCTCTCCTGCTACCGACTCTTAATGTGACTTCTAGAAACTTATCTCTCAGGCCAGAGGAAAAAATCTACTAAGGCTTAGATTTGGTTGACAAAACTCTCAAGCGCAAGCAAATGATGTCTTGGAACACTAAAAATTCCTTTTTCTTTTCCAAAGCTTTTAATCTTTGATGGGGTTTGATTTCTGCTTTTAACCACTGTTTATCGTAGGTGGGATTATTGCTGCTTTATTTACAGACTGTAAATGGGCCAGGGGAATTTTTCTACAATTGAAGTGTGGTGTAGCACTGCTTTTGAAAACAACAACAACAACAACATTATTAAAGTAACCTCGGTTTTGTTCATTTATTTTGATAACCCACCTTTCTTCCACAGATCTCAAGGTGTCCTACAATGAACTGATCCAGCAGGCTGTTCTTAAATGGATCTCCCTTTCCCCATTTTATTTTAAAAGCAACCCTGTGAGGTAAGTTAAGCTAGGAGACTGTGACTGGGCCAAGGTCACCCAATGAGCTACATGGCTGAGTGGGGATTTGAATCCTGGTCTCCTAGGGCCTAGTCTGACACTATAACCACTACACCACACTAGGCTGTGGTACTTATTTTTGTGTTTCCAGAACCACCACATTGGATAAGAACTACATATCCGAGTGAGACTGATGTAAAAGGTTCATGCTGATCACCACCAAGTGAGGACTTCTGCCAAGGACCCGTGGGATACAGAATCCAAGGCACACAGTTTCAGAGATAGAACGGGGTATATTGCACCCATAAACCCCAGTTCACAACCACCAATCAAGGCAATAGCCAGGCAGAGGCTCATTTCATCATTGACCTTTCCTCTCTACGAGCTTTCTCCCAAATGTCTCCACATCTGCTTCTATCCCCTTCCCGCTAGTGCAGAGGTATGGACATCATCCAGATGTTGTCTGCATATCTATTTGGACTTATTTATACACCGCCTTTCCCCCAAGGTAGTTCAAATATTTAAACACAAACAAATGGCACCAAATATTTTCAGGCCAACTTCAGGAGCTAATGGTATTTACACCATTACGTGCTCCCAGTTCCAAGCTTCCTTGCTATTATAGCAAAGACCCTTCTGGCAGGTGTACAGTTTTACTGCAGCGTTAAGCTTTTGTGGACTGCAAACCACGTCATAAGGTGCATGAAGAGGTGCAGGCATTAGAGGAAACGGGACTCCCTAGCACCAGCCCAATTTTCAGGGATGGTGGGAGATGTAGTCTAGCATCATCCGATGGGCCACAGGCTTTAGTTCTCAGTGAATTGACTTTCCTCTCACCTGAATATCATCCTGCAATGGCACCACCATGATGATGCTTCGGACTGCACATAAAAAGTGTTTTGCTTCCTGAAATTCATTCTAATTGTGCAGATGAAATGTAACTGTCGGAATCCTGCAGGATGGGGTATCACTGTGTGTAAACAGTCTAGATCAGCGGTTCTCAACCAGTGGGTCCCCAAATGTTGTGGGACTACAACTCCAATCATCCCTGACCACTGGTCATGCTGGCTAGGAATGATGGGAGTTTTAAGTACTAGATTGGCTTAGGATTTAAGTAAGTTAAGTGATGAATCAGTATGTTTAATGTTGAATTGGTAAGATAGAACGATGTTAAGTGTTTAAGTTAAGCTTATAAGAACTTTGATTTGGAAAACCGTTAAAAGGACATGTATTGAAATTCAACTAGGGGGATAATAATGTTAATAATGTTAATAAGGTTAATTTTAATAAGGTTATGATTTATGTTTGTTTGTTTATTTGTTTGCAATTTTGCAAAAACCAATAAATTTTTTTGAAAAAAGGAATGATGGGAGTTGTAGTCCAACAACATCTGGGGACCCACAGGCTGAGAAACACTGGTCTAGATCCAAGAATCCCCAGGCATGTACCTCCAGATGGTGGAGATGTCAGGCACTATCCTGGCGCCCAGGCATCTTCACTTGGTCGCAAGTGGCCAACAGGCAGGAGCAAAACGCGCCTGGCACCTGGCTAATTTTGAACACTGGGCAGATGAAAGGATCTGGTTGTTGTGTTGCTGCAGGTGCACCATGGCATTTCTTCTCTCTATGCTCCTCCCAGTGGTCAGTCCTCCTCTGGTCACTGCTGTGGATGCACAGCTTGACTGCCCGTCTCCAGGCACTGCGGTCATCTGCAGGGGATTCCCACACAGCAGGGTTGATCTTGCCAGGCTTCATGTCATGTTTGCAGACGTCTTTGTAATGTGGAGTCAGTCTGCCAACACTAATCAATGTCCTCACCATTGCATAAAATCATTATAAAGGTAAAGGGACC